GAAGTCGCGCCAGGTGGTGCTCGTCGGGTTCTGCTTGTAGGGGACGTCGACCAGCTTGGTGTTGAGGTAGCGGGGGTGGTGGGGGCGGAGCTCTCCCGTGCGGAGGTCCACGATGCCGTTCTTGCAGGGCAGCAGGTCGGGCGTCTGGTCCAGGGACTCCAGGAAGTCCACCTGCTTGAGGATGGGCCTGAGGAACTTGAGGGTGTTGTCCATGAAGCTCGAGTTGCCGCACTTGCGGAGGTCGGCGAGCCCCTTGGCCTTCTTCTCGGGTGGGCCGGTGGCCCTGCGCTTGCTCGGAGGAGCTTCCTCGTCGGGAGCCTCGCCCCCTTCGGCCGCGGCGATGCGGCACTCGTGGCGGACCCGTTCGTTGTAGGCGCGGAGGACGAACTCGAGCTGCTCGGAGGCGAGGTACTTGACGTCGCTGAGGCCCATCTGCCTGTAGAGGGTGCCGGCCCAGAGCCAGAATTGGTCGTCTGGGTCCACCACGATGCGCCCGCCCCTGACCGCGGCGGCGTAGATGTGGGCGGCGGCCTTAGCGCTCTCCGTGTGCACGTAGTTCTTCAGCAGATGTTCGGCCGTCTGCAGCACGTCGACGACGGAGCTGTCGTGGATGGAGACGGGGTTGTTCGGGGAGCGTTCGAGGTAGGCCCCGATGGAGAGGCGCCCTAGGTGCTGCTTGGAGAGTCCGGAGCAGATGGTGCCGTGGCAGTAGACGAAACAGTTGCGCTCGATGATCTTGATGGAGAAGTTGTTGGAGCCGGAGTGCCGGACGCCGTACGTGCACACGCGGGGGCCCTTGACTCGGAACGTGAAGATGTTGCCGCGGTACACGGCGTCGAAGACGGACGTGGTGTCCGGGTGGCTCGGGTGGTTGGCGAGCATCTCCTCCAGCTCGCCGATCGTCTGCCTGAAACGGACGCGATCTTGCGCCCTGCTGCGCTTGGCGTGCGGGTCCTCGTAGTCGGACGCATTGATGAGCCGGTCTATGGCCGCCTCGTCCAGGCCCTCTGTGGCGGCGTCCGTCTCGTCTAGGACCGGGCCGAAGGCTCGAGTCCCGGACACCTGTTGGCCGGCACAGAAGGGTACATCTTGCATGCGATACAGCCTGAAGGGGGCGTTGGGCGCCCCCGGTAGCCGGCTGGGGGTCGACGTGCCCCTGGGCGGGGCGCCTCGAGGCCCTCTCTGGCGCCCCTGCGCGCACCCCGCCCTGTCGTTCTCCACGAGGACCTCCTCGAGCCACGCGGGCACGTCCAGGATGGGCGTGTCCCGCGGGTGTTTGGTCCATTCGTACGTGAGCGTGCGACCGTCGCAGGACTGGTACGATGAGCCGGGTGCGAAGATGACCCCTCCGTCGCCCCTGATGTCCACCGCGAAGTCGCGCCCGTCGATGGAGAGCCCGGCCCTGTTGCCGAGGCCGTACGAGCAGCTCGCCCCGGGGTACCGATAGTAGAGGTGGACGCCGTCTTTGCCCGTCTTGGCGGTCCATGTGTTCAGGTCCTGGCCGTGCCGCAGCGACCAGGTCTCGAGCGCCTCCATCCCGTTCGCCTTGCTCCCCTCGGCATTCTCGGTGCCCCGTTCCGACGTGTTGTCGAAGTCCACCACGAGGATCCCGGAGATGGCGCCGGTCCGGACGGCGATCGAGTTGCATTCCGGCGAGAAGAATCTGAGGCAGTTGTCTCGGTCCAGGTCGCGCCAGGAAGTCACGAACTTGGCCGTCTTCTCGCCCTGCGCCTCGCTCGTGATGTTCACGGAGACGGGCACCAGCCCGAGATGGTAGAGCCCCTCGAAGTCGCGCGCCCTCCTTGCTTCGGCCTCCATCTCGAACCCTCCTTGGATGGGGAGATTTTAAAGATGGTCCCCTCCCTCCCCCGCGCGCTTCCTTAAGCCCCTGCCCCTCATGCGGGGAGGAACGACACGATCTTGCTGGCGGTTCCGGGGGATTGTTGCTGGGGAGGAGGGGCCAGGTCTCGGGACAGGATGAGCTGAGACGGTCGGGGCGGTGCTCTGGCCTGCTGATGATGGATCGGCGTGGGGGCGATCTGCGGCACGAGCACGGGTGCTTGCGGACGGGCCGGAGGGGTCCCGGGGGGCTCCGGGGCAGGAGATGTGCCGTGCTTCGCCCGCGGGCTCCGCTTGGCGGCGTGGGGCTTGCTCTTGGTCTTGCTCTTCGTGGCGGTCTCCTTGTCTTTCCTCTTCTTGTCCCTCTCCTCCAGGCCCTTGAGACGTTCCGAGGAGAACTTGTCGAAGCCGTCCACCACCTCCTTCATCTTCTTGACCCTGGAGGCTATGTCCATGCGGGTG